CCCTGGGCCGCCGTCCCGGCCTCGCACTCCCAGCCCCTGGCCCCATCTCTCCCTCCCGGCCCTCTGCCTCCCTCAGAGGCCCGTCCCCCTTCCCCGCCGGTCGCCCGGGACCTGGGCCGCCTGGAGCCTTAGACGTGGTCCCAGGAGGGTCATGGAACCCGTGTGTCTCAAACCCCGGGCTCTGCTGAGCCCGTCGAGGTCGCACTCCACCTTCCGCCGGCGGCCCCCGGGTTTCCCGCGTGTTTCTGCGGAGGGCGCGCCGCCACCCCCGGGGCAGGTAACGGCCCTGCGGCGGAGAGCCCGGAGCCGGGACGAGAGGGCGCACGGGCTGGGGCGCGGAGGGCGCCCGCGGCTCCCCGGGTTGCTGGTTGGAGGGGGCGGGCGGAGGAGCCCGCAGGCTCGGTCTGGTGGCACTTGGAGCTGTCCAGAGCCGTCTGAGAAGTTCCAGACCGACCGTGGCGGCGGCGGGAGACGCCCACCCCCTCCAGCCGGGGCCACGGGGCTCACCTCACCCGACCCCCGAAACAGGCCTGGGGAGGGTGCTAGCCCAAGGCCGCGGGGCGACGGGCCGGCGGACCCCGGCCAGCTCCCCCCCTTTCACTCTCATTGTTGTCGCCCCAGCGGGAAGCGGGAAGCCGAGGAAGCCGACTCCGCCCCCCGGCCCGACGAGCGGGGCCGGGCAGAGGTCAGGAGCCGGGCAGGCCCACCCCCGGGGGAGCCCGGGCCTCCTGGGAGGGTCTGGGTCGACAGTGTCGGCTTCCGGAAGGCCTCCCCAGCAAAGAGAGAAAAAAAGAGAAAAAAAAAATCCACTTTACTGAGTCACACCCAGCTGTAAACATGTCACCGAGAGAACCCCCCACCCCCCAGGCCACACAGCCCTCGATGAAATGACTGGTACACGGGAGGGTCACGGGGTAGGTGCCAAGCAGGGCAGCGGGCAGGCGAGTGCAGCCGGCTCTTGGGTTTCGGCTCTTGGGTTTCCGGCGAGGCCCAGAGGGGTGTCAGGGCAGGAGAGGGTCTAAGCTCCCAGGAGCCTGGGGCGGGTCCTAAAGTCCAGGTGGTTTTGCGAAGCCTCTTCCTGAAGGCCTCCCTGACTGTGCCTCGGCCACTCTGCCCGGCCCAGTGTCCAACCGCTGCGGAGCACATCTGTTGCGGTGAGGGTGGGGCTGCCCTGAAGCCGCCCAGCTCCAGTCTCCCACAGGCCTGTCCAGCCCAGCCGGTTTCCTGTTCCCCTGTGAGCCTCCTGATCCCCTGTGAGCCTAGGGGTCAGACTGGGGACCTCAGGGGGACAGGTAAGAGCCCCAGCTCCTCAGAGTCCAGCCCTAGGTCTGGGTGGCTTCTCAGGGATGGCACAGGGCTCCTTCCCTGGGTCATGGGTCCCCCTGTGGCCATCTGACTGGAATGTGGCAGTGAGGTGGGCAGGGCAGGAGCTCATCCTTTGGCCACAGTCCCTCGAGCTGCCCCAACTACACAGCCGTCTCCTGGTCCTCCCGCTGGATCATCTGGTAGTGCTGTCGGTTTTCCAGGTAGGCAGCCAGCTCTGTGTCCTGAGCCTTCTCAGCCCGCTGCCGGGGAGTGTCACCCTGGATTTGGGGTAGCTGCAATCAGTGCAGGGGCCACAGGCTAAGGTCCCCACCCCGTTTAGGAAAGGGCAGAGTCTTTTCCTCTGCCTTGCCTACTCCCCTGCTGGCTCGGGTTTCTCAGGATCTGGACTTTGTCAGGGAAAGGACAGCTTCAAATTCACAAGGGCAGTCCCCACCCCCACATCTGGGGATGGCTGGTTTTGTGCCCTGCTGGCCTGCTCACCTGCTGGTCCGTCTTCATGAGTGAGGCACCAGCTTCCACGATGTAGTGGCAAATGGTGCGCTGGCCCAGAGCCGCTGCCTGGTGCAGACAGGTCTCCCCGCTGGGGGAGCAGAGGCTGGCTGTGTACCTCCTCTAGTCCCTTTTCAGGCCTTCTCCCAAGTGCCATCAGAAAGGGCAGGAAGTTTGGGGACCAGAGGGAAGGGGCGGCCCAGAGGACAACAGGCTGGTCAGCAAAGGTTCATGGGCTCTGACTGACCAAATGGGAAGGTATGGAGAAGGCTGGTTTCCAGGACAGCCAGGGACCTGGGCTCCCAGGTACTTACTTCTCCTCCACAGCATCAAGGATGTCTGGAGGTGCTGTAGGGGGAAGGGTGTGGTCAGAGGCTTGGCATACTCCCCTCCTCCCACCTGGCCCCAGGAGCACAGCTCACCGTGGTCCAGCAGGTAGCGGACCACTTCCTTGCTGCCAGTGCTGACCGCGTGGTGCAGGAGCGTGCGACTCCGCTCGTCCCGGTGCATGAGGTCGCCTCCTGCTCGATGCAGCTCCTGCAGCTGAGGGCAGGAGGCAGAGCAGGTCTGGGGCTCCTGGGGGCCTTCTCTCCCAGTCTCACACAGGCCCACAGGTACGTAAGCCAGAACAGGCTCACATGCATTACTCCCTAGGCATCCCTGGGGGTCTCTGGAGTGTTAAGGGGAGATTCAGTGGGCTTCTCTCACATCAGGAATATTAACCACCAAGCCTTGGAGCCTGTTGCTCCCCTAAAACTTGTCCCTAAGCACCAGGGACTGGAGGATGGGGCAAGGAAGCCCGTATTGGGAGACATCTATTGTGGTCTAGACACATGGGGGAAAGACAGGATGGGACAATTGCTGCAGAGACCCACCAAAGCCAGATGTCACAGGTGTCAGTTCCTGAACAGGTCAGCTCTGGTCCCACCCAGATGCCCCACTCCCTAGGGCCTGCAGGGGATAGGCTGCATCCCGGAGCTAGTACCTTACAGAAGTCGTTCCTCTTGGCGGCCTCAATTAACTCCTCACCTGCACAAAACACTGCCAGTTAAACTCTAAGGTCTGAGGCTCAGGCTCGTGTTGGTGCTGCACTCGTGTTTCATCACTGTGTACACGTGTGTGCATCACTGTACAGAAAGGCACTCCTGCTAGGGCCAGGCTGCTGAGGGCTGGGCTTGTGGAAAAACGTGACCATGTAGGGCTCAGGCTGTCCTTGTGTGGTGCTATGGGCCTCACCCCCACAGAGCCTCACACTTATGATGGGGGAGAGGGGAGGGACCCTGGGAGAAAAGGCCTCACCTTGAGGGGGTGCAGAGTCCCCTTGCAGTGACCTACAAACAGAGCAGGATGAAATGTGACCCAGCTCAGCCAGGCCCAACTGGCTGCCCTCCCTAGCCCAGTGGGTGGCATCCTTCATTCTTTCAACAGTTTATTAAGTGCCTACTGCATGTCATGCGCTAGTCTAGGCACAAGGGATACAGCAGGGAACAAGACAGATGGAGAACTTGCCCTCACGGAGCTCACATTCTAGTGTAAGGACACACACGAGTCGAGCAATAAATAAGAAATTTGAAGTGCTATCGATACAGACAGGGTCATGTGACTGAGTGGCCAGGGGGACCGCAGCATCTTAGGGACAGTGGTGCCTTTAGATGGCATTCCTGGGAAAGACCTCTCTGAGGGGCAAGAGCCAAGCTGACACTGAAATTGGGGCAGGTGTTCTGGGAAGAAAGCAAGTGTGTGGCAGCAAGGACAAAAGTCCAAAGCTGGGCCAGCCTCAGGCCACTAAGAATCAAGTGCTGCTGGATTGTGGTGGGGGACAGGGGAGGCTGCTGGGGTCAAGGCAGCCAGGCAGTGGAACCCAGGAGGGTCCATGACTGGGGGATGCTAAGAAAGGTTCTAGGCTGGGGAGTGCTTGTAGCGACCTGCATCTTAGCCCGTGTAGAGACTGGGTCACCAGAGGGCATGGGGCATAGAGCTGGAGGCCAGGCACTGAGGTGGGAAGGAGTGCTCCCGTGGCGGGGGAGCACTGTGGGACCTGCTGAAGGCCAGGTATGGGTAGGGGCTGAGGCAGCAAGGAGGGAGCCTGAGCAGCAGGGTAGATATGAGGCTGCTCTCTGGAGGAGGCCACAATTGTGAGGCTGAGGGTTCCAAGTTGGGCTCTGGCCAAGTTCAGATTGATGCCATTTTGTCACCAGGTAGGGGGCTGGGCAGGCAGCTAGCTGGTGTATGCACTGGTGCTTGCTCTTGGAGGAGCTGGGGCTGAAGGCAGGAATTTGGAAGCTGCCAGCCTGAAGACAGATTCAAAGCAAGGGAAATGGAGGCGATGGGGCCCTGGCACTCACCGGGGCGTGGGGGAGCAGGGGGAATTGGGGAGAGGGGAAGTAGGGGTTGGGAGGTCAGGCCGGGCCGATGCCCCCAGCAGCTCAGGGTCCAGGATATAAATCTCGTCCTGTGCGATCTCAGTCACATAGTTGAGGTGCTCCTGTGGGTGGGAAGGTCAAAGCTCAGGGTCAGGGCCGAGGCACCTAGCCTTCCAGGTACCTGATGGTGGAGGCTGAGGGGCAGCAAACCTGGAGAAGCCTCTGATATAAGCATAAACAGCAAAGGGAGGCTGGGGACCGCCAATCCTTCCCCCTGCCTCCTTTCCATCCCTGCTGTCCAAACCTAGTCCCACTAGGCCCACAGCCACTTCCCACAGCCAATCCTCTAGCCAGGTAGCTTGGCCCTGGCCACTCTTCCATCTCTTTGGACTGCTCTGTGCTCCAAGGCCAGCCAGAAAACCTTTCCTGTGTGCACCAGCTCCCTTCTCTGTTGGCACCATTCCAATGCACGCTAGCCTAGAGGATAGGGCCACCCACACCTGGTCATGGCCTCGTGAAAGTGGACTAGGGAACATGAGAACAGAGGCCAGTATGCCTGTGGAGCTGACAGGAAAGGCTTCCCTGGAGAGAGGGGTGTGTGGTACAGAGACCAGCTGCAGCGGAGCAGGCCTGTGGGGCTCACCTGGGCCCGATCGATCCTGTAGAAGCGGCTGGCAGTGGTGGCTGTGGAGAGACAGATGTTGAGGATAAGGGAGGTCCTTCTCCAAGTCCTCTGGGCCCAACCCAGGCTCCCTCAGGCAAGAGATAAGAGCAAATGTGGTACTGCTAGGAGCTGACCCTTCAGGGCATACTCACCATCCAGGAAACACCACTTGGGGGACAGTTTCTGGCATGTTGGGGACTTGGCTCCAGCACCATCAGGCTCCTGTTGAGAAAGAAGCAAGTGTCAAGGTGGAACAGAGCTGGGGTAGGGAGGGAGGGGAGCGCAGGGCAGGTGGTACCTCCTTACCTGCTGGAGCCTCTCAATGTGGGCACGGCAGAGCTCTAGGTCACTGTCTCCAGGGACCACTACGGTGCCCAGTGGCACAGCTGGAGGACAGAACAGCCCATCAACAGTTGGCTGTCCCCACTGTCCATCCCCAGGAGACCTGGCAGCTCCTAACCCCTCCCTGTCCCCAGCCCTGCTGGCACTCACAGGCCTCCTTGAGCTGTTCCTTGTCGTAGTGCAGGGCCTCGTAGTCGTGCATGCTGACCCTGCTCACCTGGATCCGCAGCTGTTCTGGTACTGGCTGCTGGCTGTGGGGCAGGGATGG